TGTCTTACTTTATAAAGGCAGGCGGCATGTCTCTCCTCATGATGGCATCCTCGGTGGTCTGAACCGTCTCTTTGCCCACCTGCATTGAACACACACAAACACACACAAAACACACAGTAAATACATGTATAAATCATACTATACACACACAGCATCACCACACTCTCAAACGTGAGGCTCATCTGAACGGAAATGCACAAGAGCATGATAAGTTTAATTTCCAGAATATATGACTTTATTTCTTCGGTGCAACACAAAAGGAATTTATTGCATCATTTCCAGAAGGTTTTTCATAATAAATAAACAAGCAAGCAAATAAATAAATACATTTGCTAAACTTGGTGAGTTTGATTCATTTCAATAAAACGGTTAAATATTTCTTTAAGAGAGTCAGCTCAGATTCAACGATTCGTTGCCTTCATCACTCAGTGTCAGAGGTGTTCATGTAAGCAGCCGCATTGCTTTTTCAGATATTACAATATTTTAACGCACAAGAATGTAAGTTGAATTTCCAGAATGTGTGACTTTATTTCTTCTGTGCAACACAAAACAAGATAGCCTACATGGCATAGTTTCCAAAATGTTTTTTCATAATAAATAAGCACGAAAATAAAAAAAGCAAATAAATATGTAAATAAGTAAATAAATAAGCAAATAAATAAATAATCAATTTAACTTAGTAAGCTCGATTTCTTTCAATAAAATAGTTCAACATTTCTAGTTTAAGTGAATCAATTCAGCTCAGATTCAATGATTCGTTTCCGTCATGAAAGTAGCTGCATATCAGTTAGAACTTACTACACGTTTACATTGATTTTTTCTTTATATTGCCCACAATGCACACATTTGCAATGATATTTTAATAAAATGGACATTTATTGCAACTAAACGGTTGTGAATCTGTATCTTTAGCTACACGTCATCTTATAAACAAGTCAATAATTACACTGATTTAAGTCTCTCAAGCAATTACAAAATAACAGCTCTCGATTCATTGGTGGCGTGACCAGCGTGACCATAATGACCATAATGAGTCATCTCAACATTTCCACGTCTGTGAGTCAGTGTTATAATCACACTAATCACACGAGCAGGTCTGCTGTCATCCACATGACCTCATGTTTGGTTGGTCTCCAGCATCTGCGGGTTGACAATATGGTCTCGCTTAGGAAACTCAAGGCCACGTTTAACCGTTTTCTCACAAAATTAGCTCACTGATGTGATTTTAACATGATGCAAATAACCAGGCCTGTCATTCTCAGCATATACCTGCAGTAGCCTACTCAAGTCTACTAGTTTATTTCTGCAATGGGATGTGAAATAAGTCCGGTTTCACATCTCTGTGTTATTCTGGTCTCTAGATAAGACTCCGGTTCCTCATGTTCAGACGAATCGTATGACGTTGGATCAGAGAACATTTCTCTGTTTTTCACTCACTCTCTGTCTGCATTTCCTCACAAAAGAGAGCAGTATGTTCCTAAAATAGAAACGATGATAGGTGCCTGGCAGTTCACACCACTCACATACCAGCCGTTTGTGTTTAAAACACACACACACAAACACAAACACAAACACACACACACACACACACACACACACACACACACACACAAATGCTGCTGTCAGGTTACAGCGTTCCTATCAGACAGGTAAGAACAGGTTTAGTCAAATCCTACACCGCTATAAAAGGATAGTCCACCCAAAAATGAAAGTGTTGCCTTTCAATCTTTCACTATATTTTCTGAGGAACACAAAAAGAGATTTATTGCATAAGTTCCAGAATGTTCTTCACAATACAGACTGAGGACATAAAGCAAAAACATTCATTAATTGAAATAAATTAAAGTAATTAATGTAAATAATTAAAATAAACTTAAAATAAATCCAAAATAATTTAAAATAATTCAAATTTGTAAAAATTAATTAATTAAAATAAATGTAAAAAATAATTTCAAATAAACAGAAAGTTGTAATAATTTAACTTAAAATAAAT